TCTGCATTCGCCACCTTCGGGATCAGGGTGATTATAGTGTGATTAAAGTTCTGCAGAAGTCTGCCCGTTCTGAAGAAGGAGAGGGCTGCCCTGCAGACTGATTCCCCAACAATGTCCCAGTATGCCTGGAAGAAACCCCCGGTCAGCCCATCGGACCCCGGCGCCTGACCCTTTCCGATACTGAAAACGGCTTGCCTGATCTCCTCGCGGGTGACATTAGCCGAGAGAAAAGCATTCTGGCTCGGGGATACCTTCTGTTGGAGACCCAAGGAGTGGACTAGAAAGCCTGGGGAGTTTCCATTAGAGAGGAAAAGGTTCTGGAAAAACCCAACGGATACGTTGCCCTTTGCCGGTTCGTCGAAATGAGGGGAACCTGCTTCATCCCGGAGAACTTCTATCAAATTGTGACGACGCCGCTGGGTAGTGGTGATATGGAAATAGTTTGTGTTGGAATCCCCCTTCTGCAGCCAAGTTGTGCGCGATTTTTGCTTCCAGTAGGCCTCTTCCTGTAGATAGGCAGTAGAAAGTTGAGATTCCAGACCCTTAATGATATCCCAATCCGTTGGCATGTTTTCCCGCTCCGATTGAATTGCTTCCCGTAGCTCTCTGATTTGCCGAGCAGAATTTGTGGTTCCAAGCCTCGCCCATTGCACGAGTTGATGGCGTACCTCCTTGCAGAGGGAGAAGAGCTGGAATTGCAAAGTACCTGTGACATTAATCTGCCAAGACTGAGATACAATCTCCCGTGCCTCGCTGTTGTTAGTCCAGCGGAGATCAAAGTGGAATCGAGGCTTCCCCTTTCCAGCCGCTGGAACAAGTTGCAGGAGCAATATCCGGTGATCCGATCCTAAATCCGACAAGTGGGTGACCTGCAAATTCGGCCAAACAGTTAAAAGATCAGAGGAAACCAAACCCCTGTCTAACCGTTCTAAAATATGTGTATTCACTCCCTGCCGATTCGACCAAGTGAAGGGTGAGCCCTTGAAACCCACATCTATTAACCCTGCCGAGCCAATGAAGTCACGGAAGTGATCCATGGCTTGATGATTGGGAGGTCTGCCGCCAAGCTTCTCAGAAGATTGGAGAAGGCAATTGAAGTCTCCTACTACGATTTTAGGCATGGAATAACTCGAACACAAAGTTAAGAGTTCATTGAATTGAGATAAACGAGTATTTACATCACAGTGCAAGTGAACGAAAAGGATACCTAAGGTACCCCAAACTACATGCTGGGTTTCGACAAACAAAAAGAAACTAGCTTCCTCTACGACTCGATAGCAAACAGACGACGAGCACGCGAGGGCTAAGCCTCCTGCTCTGCCATTCGGAGACACACAATGAGTGAATTGATAACCTAGACGCCTAAGCTTCTTATGTACAAAATCATCTTCCTGTTTGGTCTCACTAAGGAAGATCATCGACGGGGAGAATCGACAGACGGCCCCAAACAGAGAAGGAATTGTCAGGGGGGACCCCAAACCCCGACAATTCCACACCACCATGCTCATCGCGGCTGCTGGGACCAGTTCGGGCTGGTTTCCTCCACCACAGAAGCATTCGAATTGCCACCAGAATCCTCCATCAGGTCCACTCGAGCTTTCTTGGCTGTCAGAGCCAATTCACCCATACCATCCTGCAAGCTCCTGGAACGGAGCAGAGGACCAGAATGTGGAAGCATGGTCCCTGCATCCTTCGGGCTCACAGTTGCCCCTGGCACAGGGGAAATCGCCGGCAAGGCCAGAGAGTTCGCCGCCGGAGAAGCAGGCAAGGGGAGGAAAGGAGTGCCAGGACCCGTGCTCTTCTCGCCCCCCTCCCTGCCTTGGCGAACCCAGGTGAACTGTTTCCGACTGAGCAAGGATCGCTCATTCACCTTTGGTCCCGATCTCTTCGACACCAGATCCTTGCTGTAGGGGGTGACCGTTCCAGCGAGTTCCTCTCGTCGCGGGCATTGTTGCCCAATATGACCAAGGATTCCACAGAGGTAGCAGAACTGGGACAATCTCTTATATTTCACAGTGGCCGTGAAGCCGCCCTTGCTAGCTTTTTCATGGGAAGCAGGTACGGACACCGGGAGGGGAAAGCGAGCATCTATCCAGACTTTGGCGTGAATGTACAATTCGCCTGTGGCAATCTCCCTGTGAACCGCCGCCGGCTCACTTTTACCGAGAGCAAGGCCTAGCAAGGACCCAACCCGTCGGGTACAGCAAGGTGGAGGGATGTCCCAGAATTGGAGTTGCAGGGGCACACGCCAGAGTTGATCCGCCACTTCAGGAGTAACTGATACCCAAGGAGCCAGATTGACAAGGAATTTCGGGAGAAACCAGGGAGCTTCCCTCAAGACCCCATTCAGAGCAGCATCCGACGGGAAAATAATTTGGAGAAGCCCTTCAGGAGCAGGTAGAATGGAGATCGCTCCGGGGCATCTCCAAAGGCGACCAAGCGTGGTTTGGAGGTGGCGAAGAGGGGGAGAGGGCCCAATGATTCTTCCTAGGAGCGAAAGATCACTGCGCTCCACCCCGGCGACGACATCCTCATCTCCAAAAAGCACTGGATTGATGGCAGCCATATCGATCGAGGTAAAATTAGGGTTTGCCAATCGGAGAATAAGGAGGAAGCGAGGGGAAGATGATACCCAATTCGGCGAATGAACTCGCACAGCCCACCAAGGGGGTTTTAAGGTCGGCATCAGAGCCCCCGGCCGAGACCGGCGGAACACGATGGCGGTTTTACCGTTAACGGGAGGTCGCACGACGGCGAATGGTGCAGCCCCACTCTCCACGAACAGGAGAGAGGCGAGAGAGAATTTTTTTTTTTTTTTTTTTTTTTTTCCAACGAATAAGCCGGTTCACAAGGTGCGTTGAATTGAATTGCGTAGCTTTTTAGATTGGGCCGGGTAAGCCCATTTAAATTGAAAGTAATGATTAATTATTTGATTTTTTTTATTTTACAGTTCACCGGAGTTATTGGGGCGTTTAACTGCCAAGGTGGCGGGTGGTCCAGAGAGACGAGGCGCAACCAATGCTTCTCGGAATTCTCTCACAAGTTGACGGCCCAAACGAATCCGAAGGACATCGAATGGGCCAGTGGGAAAAGCCCAATGTCCATCGAAGGAGTCCAGGTATTCGCTATGTATATGTCCAAGGCCCAGAAGCTCATACTGTCCAAGCCCATCGACGACGTCGAGGTCTCGCTGGAGCCGTTCGAGTTTGAGCTGATCACAGTGTCGCCGGTGACCGTCTTGGCCGGAAAGTCTGTCCAATTTGCTCCCATTGGCCTGGTGAACATGCTCAACTCTGGCGGGGCGATCCGTTCGGTGGAGTACCGGGATGGATTGGTGGAGATGGGCGTGAAGGGGGCCGGAGAAATGGTGGTGTTTGCATCGGAGAAGCCGGCAAGCTGCAAGGTGGATGGTGGGGAGGTTGAGTTCAAGTATGATGGGTGCTTGGTTACTGTTGAAGTTCCGTGGTCCTCCGCTGCGTTGGGCGTTTCACACGTTGAATTCTTGTTTTGATTTAACTCAATTAGCTATCCTGATATTGAATTGCAAGTCGATTTTTATTGTCATTGTAATTGAGTATGTAAAATTGAAGATGCTGAGACCTTTTAATTAATTTTAATCGTAATGGTTTTCCTTAATCTCACGGGCTATATAGGTTGTGCTGTCTCCATTCCCACCTTATACGGTGGAATATGTTCTCCTATCTCCTCGCCGGAACTCCCCTTCGGAAGTTTGAGCCTTAAGGTAGCTAACAAATTTAATTTTAAGAGACTCATCGTTGAAGTTGTGAATTTTTAGCTTGCAACGTTCACTTTTTTTTTTTAAATATCCGTTTATTAGGAATGACAATGGGACAGGGCCGAGGCGAGTATCTCAATACTCATACCCGTCCCATGGCAGGTCAGGTAATTTATCACGGGACGTGGGTCGGGGCAAGTCGATCCAATAGGTATGTAATTTAGGCAAGAACGGGTCGAGAATGGGGCAAGTTAGGACAGGTCGAGTCGATGAGAGGTACCCAAGCCTGCCCCTCCCAAAACAGGCCAAACAGGTCGGGTACAACAGGCAGGTCGAAATTGTCATCCCTACTATATAAGATCAGCATTTCTAATCCGAGAGTAATAATAACGATGACAATAAATTCAGGTGACCTATACTGATTTGACTCATTTTATGTATATTGATTAAAATCAATTCTATATATCTCTATTACGATATTAAACTCTGGCTTTTATTATCAGAAAATATTATAATTTTGTCCTCACCCTATATGAAACTACATAATTTGATTATCTCCTCGACTTATTCCGTTGGCAGTTTGAACAAGTTGATATAACGATATGGATAATTTAAGTGCATACATTGAAGGCAATGTGCAAAGTTTTATTTTGACTAGTTTTCAAAACTCATATTTTAGACTTTTTAAGATAATTTAAGTTAATTGACCAATACGAAGCAAGTTTGTATTATCATTAAAAAAACTCAATTTACGATACCAACTCTTGAGAATAAGATATACTTACATACTAACAATTATTGAAATACTCACTTCCTTACACTCCCTTCAAATAAAAGCCGACTCATCGGCTTGAAATTTGCACAGGCCCGTCATACCATGTGCTTGCAAGACAACGATTAATATTGAGAGTTGTGAGGACTTGAACACGTAACTTCACGAACAAACCAGCTTTGATACCATGTCATTAATCAGTTGGTACCAATAAATCGAATTGTTGAGACAAAATTATATTAAATCTTATACAAACCATGTATTGTGCTTAACACTTTCTTTCACGAGAACAAACAATTCTGAAACATAAAAACGTTATACGATAATGAATCACGCTAAAACATTTTAGTATAGTAGCTAGCTGGATTGGTTTAAATGCTGCCATTATTTGTTCATTTTAATTTTTACCCCATGGGCCTTAGACCGTCGTTCCGTCCCGTATAAGAAAGAAAAAGGGTAACTCGCGAAGCAACCCAAAAATTACGCGGGTGGGTGACGAGAGACTGCCGAACTCCACCAGAGGAGCCCAGACTTCGCTCGCATCTCTTCTCTCTCTCATTCTTCGAAGTCATTCTTTATTATTCTTCTCACCTCCCATCCCCTTCTTCTTCGGCATCGTGATTAACTCAGATGAATACGTCGCAGTATATGGACAAGCAGATTATGGATTTGACCTCATCCCCCCAACCCCAAGGCTTATCATCATCCCCCACCCACCACTCCACCGGCGGCGGCAAGGACTTCATCGATCTGATGAATCATCATCCGCGGGACGGCGGCGACGACGATCAGCACGCCAATTACGCTGGGAACGGTACCAGGAAGGAGGATGTCATGGTTCCCAGCTACGATTTCCACCCGATTCGCCCCGTTGCTGGAGGATTGGGAGGAGGAGGAGGAGATTCCACTGCTGGTGCTAGGGCTTGGAGTTCAGTCGACGGCAACTCCAGTTCCGTCAATTTCGCCGTGGCCGATTCTCCTGTCCGGGTACTTCAAATTCAAACCCTCTTTTTGTGGTTTAGTTCAGTTTTGGTTTAGCCCTATTGTCTGATCTGGAATTGGGGCTCGCCATGTTGTTTTGACAATGGAATAGTGTCGAACGCATTGATAGGAATTTTTACGATGCTTTATTATGCTTTAGCTGGTGACGATTTGGCTGTGGATTATGTGTCAGAGCAGCAATTGAAGTGTTTTGTTCTTGTGGATTTCGTTGAGCTAGAGTAAAGCCTCAATGTAGACTTGGAAATAGAAAGTTTTTTCACTTGTTATTTCCATTCCGTTTCGGGGTTAAGCTTGATGAGTGATTCCTTTCTACTTGCATGTTAGACCTGATGCTTGTCTTTCTTTCTGACTTGAGCTATATATCCCAACTGTTGGATCAGGTATTAGTTTGATTAGGTGTGCGGAATGGAGTTCTTGGTTGTGCATTTCTAATACAGTTTCGTGTGTGTTTTCGGTCTCGATAGTATGTTGTCTGTATTGCATTGTTGATGTTGTGGTACATTGTTTTGTCGACAGCACTATGGGTCGCTTGATTCGATGGAACCATCCAAAGATGACTTGGAGAAGGAACAAACCGTTTCTGATTCAGCGATACTATCTGAGATAGACAGAACTATGAAGAGACACACAGATAACATGCTGATCATTTTAGAAGGTGTTAGTTCCAGACTGATCCAGTTGGAGAGCAGAACTCGCAACCTCGAGAGTTCTGTTGACGATTTGAAGGTTTCTGTGGGGAACAATCACGGAAGCACTGATGGGAAGATGAGACAGCTGGAGAATATCCTCCGGGAGGTAGGCTTTCAGTCCACATATAGAGTACTCTTGGTCCTCGCGCATAACAAATCATTGCTGCCTTTTGCTTTTATTGCCTCGGATTTCTTATGTTTGTTCATGAGTTCTTATGATGTAGTTTACCATGTCTTGTCACACAAAATAACCAAAGATTAGGTGCCTGCTCTGTTTTATCTTGTGAGTTGTTTTTGTTTTGACACTTGGTCACATAGTCACGTTGGTGTTGTTGTCCATCTTTGTAAATCACTATTTATTTGGTGCCGATGACGATCCCAATTGATCCTTTTTCCTGCAGGTACAAACTGGAGTACGGGATGTGAAGGATAAGCAAGAACTACTTGAGTCACAGCTTCACCTTCAAAACCTTCACGTCTCTAATGTCAAGCAGCATCAACAAGAGTCACAAAACACCGGCCAGGCTGCAACTGCTGTGCAGCAACAAGCACCATCTGCCTCTGCCCCACCGCAATCCCATCATCAACATGCGCCTCCTCAATTAACAAGCTTCCCACAATCACTCCCTTCTGTGCCCGGTCCACCTCCTCCAACCGTCCCTCTCCCTCAGCCGCAAAGTCTGCCCCCTGTCACTCCACTTCCAAACCAATTCACACCCCCTCCTTCAGTCCCTCAACGAGATCCATACTACGTGCCTGCTGGCCATGCTCACGAACCACCTCCGAACCCACAGTACCAGGTGCCCCCACCACAGCAACCATCTCCTGTTGCCGCTGCTCCCCCTCCTCATCAACTATATCAGTCAGCTCCGCCACAATACCCGCAGCAACAACCCCAGATGCCACAGCAACCTCAACAGCCAGCTGGCCACCACTCTGACGAGGCCTCTTATCTCGCCACTCAAAGCTATCCACCACGACAAGCTCCATCTCAGCTACCTGGTGGTGGTCCCTTCCCACCCCAGCAGTACTACGGCACTCCTCCTCCCTCTACCGGGTACAATCCTCCTCAATCCGGATCCATGGAAATGTACCCTTACAGTGGAGGCGGCAGCACGATGGTGAAACCGCTGCAACTCCAATCTGTCTCTATGCCTCCTCATGGTGGTGGTGGGACTGGGTACCCTCAACTTCCGACTGCCCGTGTGCTGCCACAGGGTTCGCCCTCTAGGTCAGCAGCTGGTGGGGCTGGATCAGGTTCAGGCTCTGGAAACAGGGTTCCGATTGATGACGTGATTGACAAGGTGTCGACCATGGGGTTCCCGAGGGATCATGTTCGTGAGGCTGTTCGGAAACTCACCGAGAACGGGCAGTCGGTCGACCTGAACATCGTCCTGGATAAGCTGATGAACGACTCGGATTTCCAGCCGCCTAGAGGGTGGTTCGGCCGGTAGCTTGCCTAATTGCCTTTTTGATTTGCATGTATAGAACTATCGTCTGTTTCCTGCCAGAAGAGTGCAACGGCGATTTGGTTTGTCTTCCAGTTTCGCCTTCCTCATAGACGATGTTAATCCTTTGTTCGAGAGTCTTGTCATCCATGTTTGTCTTGTCTATAACTTCGAGCAGCTGCTGTTTCATTTGTCCATAAAATTCATCACATACTTTTTTCTCCATTCATGACAATGTGTCGGTTTCTACTTTCTATGAGATGCTTTTCTTGTAGCCTGCAATCTTCATCACTTTGAGTTGTGAGATATGCGAGAACTGCTTGTCTATCTGAGATGTTGAGTGATGGTTCAGACAAGATCTACTTTTGAAAGACAAAAGATTGCTTTTCAAGCTTTTGCTTCGTACATGTTCCTTTTGCAAACCTTTGGGATGGTGTGCCGAACAGGATGGGGGAAAATGAAGATGAAAGGTGTGTTTGAGTTTATTTAACTCGATTTGGGTTGAATCGTGAAAAAGAAGTCTTTAAGTGAACTTAATTGTTCATTTTATCTTGTTATTAACACTCATTTGCTTGTTTAACTGCTATCAAACTACATATGTAATATGTAAAGTTTATTGGGCATGATTTTTTGTTTTTGTTATTATATCACTTGTGTCGTCCTAGAGCATAAAGAATATAGCAACTTCAATAATTGCATATCGTTGCAACTGGTAACGAGAATAATTATGGTATTTGCATGACTTCATTAGATAATAAATCCGTGACTACATTTAAGAAAAATGATCTAAATCCATCGGAGCCAATAAAACATACCAAAAAATGTATAAAAACTCGTCCTAATTTGAGATTAGGCTGAAAAAGGAAAGTCTACTGTTGTAGTACGACTGTATGAAGAACGAATTGTTGTTCATCTCGTTTTCATCCTCACATTATTTTATTTTGGCCTTTTCAGTCCACACCTTCCCCATCCCGTCTTTGTATTGTTCTGTTGTTTCTGTGATCATTTTGCCTTTCTCTCCTTTGTAGCTGTTGTTTGTTGTAATTCTCACAGCTCTCGTTCTTCCCCTCCAACACAAGAGAGCCTTCTTCCCCAAAAATACACACAACAAATCCTCACTACCCCCAAAAGTCCAAAACCCTTCCCTTCCGAATCCCCTCGGAGCTCCCTCGCTCCACAATCCCTCCCGCCACTTATTTACGATCCTGCCCTCTTTTCTCCCCGCAACTTGCCAAAACTCCTTCCTATCCCCGAAATGCCCTCCCGTCGCCGCCCTATTTACGCCGCCGTGACGGACTGATACCAATTCTCAGCTACTCGGCGAGCAAACGCCGCGGTTCCTCTTTCGCTCCCGATTCTGTAAGTCGATGCATCTGCTTTAGTTTTGCCGGTCTGTCTCTCTCTCCCCGACTGTCAATCCGTGTAGAGTTTTCTGTTGTTTTTGGTTGCGGGATGTATGTGAGCGATTTCTCTATGTGTTCTGGATAGGTGATTTGTTATTGAATTCATTCAGATTGAATTTTTATTTCTCAGGAGGGCTTGAATTCCCAAACATTATATGCTCGTGCCTGTCTTTCGTTGGTTGGTTCGTCTCCTTTGATTAGGGTTTTACTGAATTGCTTCACGAATGTGGTTTTCCTCCCCCTCCCTGGCTTCTGGTCTGAGTGTATCCTGTGCTGGAAATGAGTGGTTTACTGGCTGAGTGTCGTTAGGTCACCGCGGGAGTCCTGTCTGGGCGAAATCAGTTTGTGCAGAGTGAAATTCAGTTTGCCTTTGTTGCAGAACTAGCTTAGACGATTTTGGTTTCCGTTGAAGTTAGGGGAGTTGGTGGTGTAGTCTTATTGATGTGTGCTGGGGGTGTAGAATCTCCAATTACCATTTTAGCGTGCATTGCAAATGTAGAGTCTAGTTGGCCTAAGAACTATCCGTTTCAAATCAGGAATACTTTGTTTCTGTGTGTATTGAAGTGGTGACGTTCAGTTACCCTTTTAATGCGCATTGCTTGCGTAGTATCTGGCTGGGCGTGATAGGTATGTACGTTTCAGATCAAGCATCCGCCGAGTCTGGTTACAGCACGTGGCTTTAAGTGACTGGAAGTTGCCATGTGTGTTTAGCTTTTTTATTTATTGCGACGATATGTTGAATTTTGTTTGGTTGCAAACATGGATGATCGAGTTGATCCTTTTTATTAAATGTGAATAGACTCATCTGCTTGAAACCAGTTATGTCGAAACGCTGCCGTTTTTTTTGGTTGTGTTGTTGTTTACCTGAAATTCAAATCCTTTATGTCTTACAGGATGTTAACATGTAGTAGAACATATGTTGGCCTTCTTATTTTTGCTTTGTATCCATTTCAGAAACATATGCATGTGCGATGTAAATGGAATCCGTTCACAAACTGAGATATATGAGGATGCAATGGTGTTTACATTTCCTGGTACTTTGCTGTGTTTTTTAAAGTTATGACGTTGAATATGAGCACTCTCTGTTATGTACGACCATGCATTTCCCCCCAGCAGAACTAGTATTTCATGCTTTTTGTATATTTTTCTTCATGCAATTATTATATCATGTCATTATTAGTTTTTTCAACCCAGTCTTTTGAAATGGAGTTCAAAATTATTTGTTGGTATCCTGTTTATTTCGCTGCCTTTGAAGAGGAATCAAAATTTGTTTTCTGCCTAACTTACCTGCATAAGCATCCACATACTTTTTGATACGAAGTGTAATGTGGTTTGCCTTGCCTAACAAGTGTACTCCATGACAATCTTTTCTTGATTCACCTTCAGTTGCTTCCTCCTTTATTATCTGCAAAGATATGCTAGTTGCCTCAATGTTGATGTTGCACATTTACAGTTTGTAAAACAGTCATTCGAGATTTTCTCGGGATGATGAGTAATCAATTTCGGAGCTACTCCACTGGTCTTCACGATCATCTTCAGTGTGACATGTTTCCCAACATACCAATGTGATTTTGAGTAACTAAGCATATCTTATTTCAACAACACTGATGCCTGAAATGCCTTTCACTATGTTACTCGTGTGGAAATTGCAATGAGTCTGTGTCATTGCTGGCCGATATTGCTTAGAGAATGTTTTTGCTTCCATAGTATTTGATGGCAGCAAAGCAAATAAACAAATGAGCTATTTAACGTATTCTGAATTGATGTTCTAATACTTTTGCCGACTGATATATGGGTCAATTGCTGACTGATTTTCTGTAGAGATTGTATTTGCTTCGTCGTATTGATGGTTCTGCTTGTGTTATTGTTTCCTGATTGTAGATTCCCTGAATTGGTGAAGATAAATTCTATCTGCCAAGCTACACTCAGCACGTCCTGGGATTCTAAATGGAACTCAGAGTTTCATCACTAAAGCGACTTGGACTTTCTACTTCTGATTGTGCTAGTGACCCAGAGGAAAAGGAAGTAAGTGATGAAGACGATGATGACCGCAACCATAAGCATCGTAGGAAGGAGTCACAATCTCAGTCTATGCAGAGAGATTTGTTAGAACCGGTTTCCAATAGGCCATTCAGGAAGAGAAACAGATTATTTGACAACAGTCATCCTTTCAGGGAAAATGAATCTCAAGACTACACCACAAAGTTTGAAAAAAGACGCCCTGGCCCAGGCTCTTTTCCCCAAAGGGTCAGGCCAAATCAATTATTTTCTGGGGATCCTGGTTCCATTCGGGGAAGAGGAAGGGACCCTGTTCCATGGGGTCAGCATGATCCTAGATTCAATCAACTCGATCTTGCCTCTGGGCTCTTTGCAGGGAGGGGTTTGCCTAATGTTTCAAATCCGCGAAGTGGATCTTGGAACGGGTTTGGATTGATTCCAGGAATTCCTAATGGTGGCTTGGACACACTTCATACTATGGGATTGCAAGGAACATTGGCTCCAGCAGTAAACTCTTCATTGAATATGCGTATTACGAGACAGCGTTGTAGAGATTTTGAGGAGCGTGGCTTTTGTCTCAGAGGGGACATGTGTCCAATGGAGCATGGTGTTAACCGTATTGTTGTTGAAGATGTCCAGGTATGTCGGGGGATATTTATTTTGTTTGCTTTTTGTGATTTTTTTGGATTGGATTCCTGTCAATTGCTGTGCTCAAACACTGCTTGCTAGATATGGTGCTATTGAATTTGTTACTTTGATTGGTTCCTTATTGCTCTTAAATGTTGGCATATAGGAAATGTTGTTTGTCGATTGGGTGCTACATGATAGTCTTGGTCATATTTGGCTGCTTCTCCACAATTAGAAGTGAGTCATTTTGTTGCACTGCTAGTTAATGATTTTAACAGAGAAAGTTGGTGGTGTTTTCTGTTTCTCAATTCTCTTAGCTAGGTGCAACCATTTGAATGATGAGGCTTTACTTTGTGTTCATTAATGTCATTGTGCAAGTTAGTGGTTGTCTGAGTGATGGATTTGGCCGGTTGAATTTAAGTCCGAACCATCACTTTCATCGCTCATTCAGCTAAGAATGGGGAAAAAGGGTTGGAGTTCAGGATGTCTCATGGGACAATCAATTGGGTTAGAGGGATTCTAAAATTCACCACTAACCATATCAGCATTTTCATTAACCGCTCATCTTTTCCCAGATCCATTTAGGCACCCTATAAGCATTAATGTTACTTACACAAATCAGTGGTTTTAAATAATCACATTTCTTTCAGTTTCACCTATCCAAAAGCACTTATCCAAATGGCATATTAACCTATTCTGTTAACTGGTGGATGAATATGAATTTTTGGAATTCCATTTCTTCCTGGCAAGTATTTTAATTCTATTTTTGAGTCCCTATTTCTATCGGTATCATGCCACTCCTTTCTTCGGGTAGATACTGCAATGCAATTTACTGTTCTGAGCATCAGCTTTTGTAATGTGATGACGTGTTTTCATGCTGACACAGTATTATTATAACTTTTTACGTCTTGCAGAGCCTTTCTCAGTTTAACCTCCCCGTTTCACTCCCAAGTGCACAACTGGTGGGAACTCCTTCTGTTCCGGGGGGCTTACAAGGGATTGGTAACCCTTCAACCATGTCGGCTAACAGCAAAGCTTTAAATGGAAATAGTACCAATTCTGGCTTGTATGATGACAATCCTGGGCTGAATGGTGGATATTCTGGCTCGGTTGCTGCAAGCGGAGCTGACTTTTATGATCCAGATCAACCCTTGTGGAATAACAGTGGTCCTGAAACATCAAACTCACTCTTACATCTACATTCACCCAAAAATAACGGAACTGATTCTCTGATGAGTGTTGATCCCTCTGACCAGGATCATGCCGGTCCAGTCACAGGCTCTTCTGTTTGGGGCAGAATCAGTGGTGTTAGAAACCGACGAGAAGGGAAAGAGAAAATGGATTCAACTACAAGCAATGTCTGTCATTTGGAGAATGGAGCTAACAAGGAAGAACAGGATGCTTCAGCCAATCCTCGAGGTGCTTTTCGACATGGGAAGCCACATGTTGTTACATCCGAGGATATTGGTGGGCCATCCTCTGACAACAAGCGCCTAAGTGGTCAGCCTATGCGTGTTATGCGAAAGCCATCTCAGAAGGCTTTGCGTACATTATTTGTCGCTGGTATTCCACTCAAGAGCAACAGAAGGGAGACTCTCCTTTCTCATTTCCACAAGTTTGGCGAGATAATCGATATTTACATACCTTCAAAAAGCGACCGGGCATTTATTCAGTTTTCAAAGAAGGAAGAGGCGGAAGCTGCTCTAATGGCTCCTGATGCTGTGATGGGGAATCGGTTTATCAAGTTGTGGTGGGCAAATCGTGATAGCATACCTGATGGTGGTGTGAGTAGTAGCAACAATGGTGTGTCTTTACCTCCACGTGGTACGGGATCAATCCCAGTCCTACCTCATCCTCCTCCTGTTGGTAACCGGGGAAAAGATATTGTTCAGTCAAGTGGAGCGAAGGTTGCCAGTGATTCTCCCTCTGATGCTTACACTGAGTACCAAAAGCTCCCCAATGCCAATAGTCCTAAAGGTCCACCTCCTGTTCAGAAAAAGCTAGAACAATTGAAGGAAGAGCTTCGGAAAAAGCAGGAAATGCTGGACCAGAAGCGGAATGACTTCCGGCGCCAATTGGAAAAGCTTCAGAAACAAGTAAGTGAAAACTCTTCTTGAGTTGAGGATCTTCCTGTGAGTGATTCTCATCCATGTTTGTTGGCTTTTTTACTTCTTGCCCAATACTTTAGCAAGGCTTCTAGTGGTCATTATAATATCCCATGAAATTGCATACAATAGACCTGACTCAAAGGGTGTGTTCGTCACTGAAGTAAAAAGGTGTGACTGGTAAGGTTTTAGTAAAAGTAGATATGGTTGGGACATGAGATACTTTTGAATAAAAAAATGATGAGAACAATATATAGTTTGTTTATTGATAAGAATGAGTCGATTGAGGAATGACTATGGATATAACTTCTAGAGCATATTCTTATTTAAGTTGAAAATAAATCTTTTCTGTGAGTTGGCTTTTATATTTTTTCTAGAAAGTTAGATTGAAGAAGTGTGTTAGTCTCGCTGTCTAGGCAAATAAAAACTCAAGTTATGTGTTTGCTTAACTGCAAGCTGCAGGCTTAATTCTTGAATATTGTGCGCACAAGGCTGTATTTTGCATGGTGTTTATAAAGTGAACTTCATCCGTATAGAGTCGTGTTTCGTACCTATACGAAATAAACTTAAATGGGTACTTTATTGTCTTGTTTGCAGACAACAGTAACCAAGAGTGAGGTATCGACTGAGACTCCAAAGAAACCTAAAGTAGCAGCTGATGCTGCAAAAGCTACTACCGAAGCAATGCTGTCTGATCCCTCTCCGTCACCTCGTCAGGAGGTGAAGATGGCCAATAAGAACAAATCAACAGAAACAGCATCATCCACTTCTAAGATGAGTGCTGGAGGGACAGTGCCAGAGGAATCGTCAGACCCAAAGTGGCTGCCGCCATTGCGGACTGTAGTACCTATTGTTGGCTCTCCTTGTCTGGCGAATAGATACAAGTTGGACAATCGCCCCACAACGTTTCAGATCATTCCCCCCTTGCCTTCTGGTTTGGCAAATGTATGTCTTTCTCTCACTCCAATCTCTTCATGCTTGTAGTTCTATGCGCACTAGTGTATTGGTTTGTGCAAATATTTTTTTTTTTTATAATGGTGAAATAGATGTGCGCAAAATTTTTCTTCCGCTGCATGCATGAAACGCTCATCCATGGAATTTCAAATGAGTGGGATGTGACAGGGGGTGGACTTTGGACGTCCCAATCCATTGGTTAGATGCATTTTTAGCGAGATGGAATGCTGTTAATGGGATTTAATTGAGGAAAAAACTAGAATTTTTTCCTTGTTGCTAATTGATTTATCCTCCCTCTTACTCATGGAATGTAAATTCCAACAAGTGCTGGAATCCAATTCCATCGACTTTAAAATGTCAAGCAAGCCAAACGATAGAATGACTAGTGTTCCACAATCTCCAGGGAAGTAGACCATTCCATGGCCAAATTCCCCCCTCCAAGCCAACCAGACTGTTCTTTTTCCGTTGGTATATTTTGAGCTCCAAGACAACTTGTCTGCTTTGGCCATTGTCTTTTAAGCTGTGTCTAAAGTGTTTTAGGGTTGGTCTTCTTCTGTTTAGGTATGGATGAAAACTGAACTGACATCTTGTCATTCATCTAGGTTGATGTTTTGAAGGAGCACTTCTCCACTTTTGCCAATCTCACTTCAGTGGAACTGGAAAGTGCTGAACCATGTCAAAGTGATGACGGTGATGATGGTGATGATACATCCAAGACAACAGCCACTAAACTTTGCTCCTGCGCTCATGTAACTTTCGCAACTCGTCGCTCAGCCGAGACAGCATTCGTAAATGGTAAAACCTGGCAAGGCCATGATTTACGATTTACCTGGATGCCATCAAGTTCCCCTTCCACCAACAACCCTCGGAGCAAAGCAACCACACCGTTACCTCTTACTGACGACAAGTCAAAAAAACCAGATTCTCAAGAAGCTCAGCACTCAGAAACAAATGGCGGTGTAGAAAAGAGTGAGTTAAGTGAACCTCCCCAGCCACATCCAACTGAAGATGAATCAGTCCAGATCAAGCCTGTCCTCGCAAAGATTTCCACCGAGAAAGAGGCTAGTTCGGAGAAGGAAGAACCGGGTAAAGGCGAAGATGGTTGCTGATGATGATGACTGTCGGGAATTGTACAGCAAGGTAAGGTGTTAAAAGAATATTCCTATTCTGAAACTAATTTACAGGAGCCTTTTTTTCGGTTAGCAATTTTCTGAAACTAGCCCCCGATCTTGTTTTCTTTTTGGTTCTTTTTTTCTTTCTTGTATCTCGGTTGTGTAGAAAGGGGGGTTTTGTGTTTTTTCACAGCCACCGTAATGGGGTTACGGGGATATGATACTGAGATAGTTAAGTGGCAGACTTGAACATGTTTCGTCTTTTGACGTATGAGCATAGATTACTGGTCTCTGAACTGATTTGAAAAAAGTTGAAAAAAGGACTGGAAGAAGAAAAGAAAAGGTTGCATATGAGACCAGTTTTACGGTCAGTATAAAAAGAATGGAATCTGGGATGTAGTTTTTTAGTCCCATTTTTGTTCTTTTAGAGTTAGAAGTTCTGTATTCGTAGAGGAAGGAATGTTTATGTTGGTAGTTGTAATTTTACGGCGGGTAAATACAGAATACCCAAATTATGTGGGTTTTTTGCTGTTTGTGTGAAGGAGATAGTCTTAGGATGATCACTTTACTATGCATGTGAGTTACCCTTTATCCTTAAACATGTAAATGGTCCTTACTGGCGTAGATCAAGAATTGAATGTCATTCCTGTGGGATGGAGACAGGTCAAGATCTTTTTCTTGTTTTCTTCATGGCTGCGGTGTGTATCGTAGTCATTCGATTCTAGTGAGGAAGTCTTGAGAATGTACAAGGACAACTTGATAACTGAATTCCAGGTTGTGTTGATTCATGATTCGTTATAAAGTGATGAGTCTGATGCGATAGATTAAACTACACAATGATTGTAAAATCATAGTGAAGGTTGTATTGAAAGCGGTAGGATATTTTATATTGAAACCGCGGATTAATCGTGTTTAAGCATTTCATATTGATAAATACAACCAATTTATTTAACCTTTCGTGGGATTTTTCTGGTTGAACCGAAAATAACTACGGTTTTTCGATCCTTGGTTAACAATGGTTGGATCGCATGTGTTGACTTTCGTCTTGGTGCACGGGCTGACCCCGGCCGCTTTGGCCACCTTGTGCTGCCGCCGTCGAACCATCTATAGCTCCTTTATTAAAGAGCGGTGAGCTGAAGCCTGGAAGCGGCGCCGAAGTGGTGGTCCCATGGCCCAATATGTGCCAGAATTCGGCCCAGGCCCCACGTGTTAGCCAGGCCCCAGGAGTATAATTAAACTTTCTTAACTGGGCGGTTACGTACAGGTTATCCAACCAAGCACGCGCTATTATTAGCTACGCTCGGCTACTTGCCATCGCTAACTATCCATTTCGGGGATCTAGGGATACAAGTAACACGTGGCAACCGATCAGGGAGAGTGTGCCACACTCTACCGCCCTGCTCGTGAGGAGAATAATCTGAAGAAAATCTGACAAAAATGTTTAATCTGTACGATACAGAAACGCGCCAGCGGATACGGACAACAAAAATTGTAGGAAAATGAAAATCAGATCAAAGCGGTGAAAGCTTCACCGCCGCGGGAAACCGATACCGCGCGTGAGATTCCTATTCTCGCCCAGCGATATTTTGGCGAGTCATTTTTTGGTCACCGGGAGAAATTGAAATTTTTTTTATAGAGTGAGCTTGACTCTTCGCTTCGGTTCCAATTCAATACGCTCTTTCCCATTTCTTTTTCCCCCATTTTACTACACACTACTGCTGGGGCAGCAAAACTAAGAGCATCAGAACCCTAATTCTGGCGTCTTCTTCCGCTTGTTCTTCTGCAAATTCGTCCTGGCCTTCTGCATATTGATTGGAAAGGTAAGAGCTTTACGGCTCGTTTGATTGTATGAGAGTTCTCGAATAGTCAATTTGGTTATCGTTATCTGCGGTATGGGTGTCCATGGCCTGCTGTCTCGACTGAATAGCTCATGCGGGCTCCCCTATCGGATGGTAGATTCCGTTTCCATTTCAAGACAAATTTTGGGGTTTCCTTTTGTTTTTGGTTGTGGGGTTTTAATTATTTTTTGTTGCTAGGGTTTAATATTTTTATTTTTTGAGGGGGGGAGATAAAGTCTAAACTTCTGAGTCAGTGTTGATTCTAGTCTCCTCTATTTTTGCAGTGGTGGGTGGAATTTGGTTTGGTCGTAAGCTGGCTTTCTTGTAGAGTATTTTTCGTGGGGCAAAATGAAGGTTACTCGAAAGACTGTAGCGGAAAGTCCTTCCTCCCTTGCCGGTGAAGAATCGCAAGACCACGATGGGAAAGGGTCGACCATCAGGCGGATGGAGAATGGAATCAGAGCTTGTGAGAAAGGTGGTTTTATTAGTGAAGGATTGGATGGTGGTGGAATTTCTGTTGTGAATAACAACTCGAGCGGGAAAATTGGTTCTCTATTCGATGGAAATAGAGATAGCCTTGAAGACTCTGAGATGAATGGGATTTCTTCTCTGCTTGAAATGCAGCAGAGTGGGAGGTACCCTGGATTGGACTCCGTGTTGGAGGTGATTGATAAGAATGAGAGAAAAGAGTTCAGCAATGGCGGAGATGATAGTAAGAAGCAAAGAGAAGTGAGCCTCCTGGGTGGTGGGGAAACTGAAGGGAAACATAAGGGCAAGGAAGAAACTGAGGTTGAGGGAAGCTTGGAGAAGGATGATGAAACGGAAGAACTTGATTACGATGTTGGCGATTTTGTATGGGGAAAGATCAAGAGCCATCCATGGTGGCCAGGGCGGATTTATGATCCCTTGGATGCATCCGAGCAAGCAAAGAAAGTCAAACATGGAGAAGACAGGATTCTTGTTGCTTATTTTGGGGATGGCACTTTTGCTTGGTGCAATCCATCTCAATTGAAGCCTTTCCACGAGAATTTTGTCGAGATGGCGAACCAGAGCACGTCCAAGAACTTTGTCAATGCCGTGGAGAAGGCTCTGGAAGAGGTCGGTAGGTCGATTGACTTGAGTTTGACTTGCTCTTGTGTGCCAAGAGACAATCTGTTTGGTTTTGGGAGGTCTTTGGCAGCAAATGCTGGAGTTAGAGATGGACTTCTTGTGCCAGAAGGTGGAGACTTCTCTGATAATACTTTGTTTAAACCGGAAAATGTTTTCTATTCGATCAAACATATGGCAAAAGGTGTCAGATTTGGTAATGCGTTGGAGCTTGCTATAGTGAAGAGCTCCTTGTCAGCTTTCTACAGAGGAAAATGCGGGAGCAAATTGCAGGCTTTTTCTGAGCCGACGGAAATTCCAGGGCTCGAAGATGACTCTCCTAAGTGGATGCTGGGTGATCCGAATAATCAGAAGAATACTTTAGCGGAAGGTATATTTCCTGGGCCAGTTGAAGAAGACTGGGCTTCTTCTTCCCTTGGCCAAGACTCTCAGAACTCATTGCAGGCACCACAGGTGTTTCCAGAACGCTTGGCACCTCGGAGAAGGAAGCAGAAAAGCATTGCCGAAATTATTAGTGGTAGTCCTGATGCTGAGACTGAAGCAGAAGCAAGTGGAAGCAAAACTGTATCTGGAAGGAAGAAGAGGGCGAGCAAAAGTGGAGTTGCAGGAGATGAGGTAATTGAAAACCCAGAACCATCTGGAAGTAAAAAGAGGAAAGTGCGAAGCAGTCCTAAGGTTACTGAGGTGGCCAAAACTGAAGCTAGCTCGGGTGATATTTCTGCCTCTAGTTTACATAAGAGTAAAGCTATCAATGAAGTTGCTTCCTCTGGACAGCAAAAGAGCGAAAACACAGAAGTCCCCTATGGATCAAGAAGGAGTAAACGTAGCAAGGAAGCTAATGTGGAAGCACCCAGTGAGTACGTTCCTGGGCTAAGGAAGAGGAAAGGCAGAGAAGTTCCTAAATCTCCAGTAACTGCAGCCAATCATGACACATTGGCCATCAATGTAAAAACCCCAGTGTCAAGGAGAAGGAAGAAACAGGAAGATAACAGTGTCGTAAATGATGACAGCCTAGGAAAAACCGAAGAAGTGACAGAAAAGAAAATGGCTGGTGGCTCAACTATTGAAAATGATGGCAACAAGGGCAACCAAACAAGTGAGAATGTTGCTTTGTCTAGGGAAAGGAAGAAAAGCCGGTACCTTTCCCCTCCCTACACTAATATTACTCTTGGGCAGAGGCCGAAAATGAAGGCGTCGGGTGAATCTCAATTAGCCGAGGATAGGACTGAAGCTGCTGGTCATCATAGTAATGATGTTAATTCTCTGGAAGAACTCTCTAAAGAGCAAGCTGTTGTGGATGGGAAACCTGATGATCTGATTCCAGAGACAACTAAAGATCAAACCAGCACAATCGAAGCTCGGACAGCTGCGAGTGAAATGCTATGTCATATCCGCTCAGTAGCTCTCAACCCACTCCATGTCAAGGAAAGCAAACATCTTGATCAGGTCCTGGGTTTTGTTTCCGAGCTTAGAAGCCCAGGCAATAATGAGGAGGGATCAAACAACGAGCAGAACATCAAGCCTAAACGAGGAAGAAGGAAGAAGAAACTTCAAGAAGAATCTGAATCAGACCCAAGTTCACCTAATGATCTTAAATTGCATCAGAACAAGGAATTCCAGAAGAGGGATAAGCCTGTAGCTGCTACCCTTCATGTCACTTTTGGCCCGGGATCATATCTACCTTCCAAGGATGATCTTCTAAGAATATACGGCCCATTTGGTGCATTGAACAAAGATGAAACCGACATGCTCTACAACAATCGCTGTGCTAGGATTGCATTCTCCAGTAAATCCGAAGCCGAGGAAGCACTGACCCACAGCCACCGTTCGAGCCCCTTTGGCACAAGCCATGTGAACTTTCGGCTTCGTTATGCCCCTTCAATGCCCAAATTTCCAGTCCCTTCAGAGCTCCGTAATGTAATAGAGAAGCTTGAGGTGGTGGACTCGATGCTGAAGAGTAGTTCATCAGAGATGTCTGCCAACTTGAAATCCAGGGTGGAAGGTGAAATTAGAGGAGTGATTGAGAAGTTAAACACAATGGTCAAGCCTCCGGGAGGTTGTAGTTAGAAGAGTGGTTGTTGCTTTGTCTGTGTTGTTTCCTTTTGTGAGTTGTTGTTATAGGCTCAGATCTCTTAAATTTGGTATTAATTTGTCTACAGACTACAGTTAATGATCTTGATGTTATGTGCACAGCAAGTAAGGGTTGGGGGGAAGGGGGTTAGATAGTTTCTTACCACCTTTTACTTGAATATATTGGCAGCCTAGAGAGGGGTAAAAGAAATCATATGTTTATTTTGCCATATCTATGTGTGGCTCTGTGGTATCTGGTACGTTTAATGCATGTTAACGAAGTTGCATTTTGAGATGGTCACAGGTTCAATTCTAGGAGATCAAGCCATTGAAAAGACTGTTGTTAATTCCCCCCTTTTCTCAGTTGTTTTGGTTGGAAGCTCTGTTTTCCATTGGTGGTTTGGTTGATTCTCTTTCTGCATGAGGCATTTGGTATGGATTAGCAGCTGAATGAGGATTCGGTTGGGCCAATGGTGGAAAATGGGAAACAGAATTGGGATTGGTTGGTCTGATTTTGTATGTCTCTCTAGGTAAAGGCAGCCGGTAAGAATCAGGGTACAGACTTGATGTCCGGCAGTAGGATCTTAACAAAGCTAATACAAAGGGAAATTAACAGAGAGCTTAATCTATGGTAAAATTTATTTGTAAAATTTTTGGCACTAGGGGATTCATTTTATGTTCTTCTGATCATCAACGGAGGAACGTCTAGTCTAGTTCAATTACTGATCTTCCGCTAGATATTGTTTTTTGGATAAGCTTGTGTGTTTGTCCCAACTTTTTATTGGATGGCAACACAACGCAAAATCATGGCATCATTTTTGCTCCCTCACAAGCAGTAAATATAGTTCCCGCTATTGTACTCTCGAAGTGTAGTATTTTATCGCTATAGTGAGGCAATGGCATTATACAAGACAGGAAGCAGAGAAAATTCCGAGCCGAATTCCAGGAGTACTGTTCCACCAAAAGAACAAAAGAATTACCGGTCTTTCGTCTTTCATCTTCCATACTACCAAGTACTAACACTCAGTTCATCCACTTCATATGCTCTCAATCTTTCATTCACACGCTGAAAACCGCAATCTTACAGTATCAGAATCGATCACACGGAGAAAGAACAATTGCATGCGGACATCAGTCGTCAACTGGATCCCGAGGGGTCTCATCAGCTCTGCGTTTGATACAGATCACGGGGCACTCGGCATGTTTCTGGGCAAACTCACTCACTGTCCCAACAAACACCCTGCCAAAGTATTACCATCAAAGCAAGAAAGAACTCTCCCAGTCAATGCCATGAAGTGCACAAGTCCTAAGTTACCGTTCAATGTCTACAAAATGGGCCAGTAGTTCAATAGATTGCAAGTGTTTATGAAACAACAGATCACCATACCTCTGGAAAGGGCCGAGACCCCGGCTTCCAACGACCAGGAAATCCGGGTGAACACGGTCCACTTCGCGACAGATCACCTCCTTCGGATCACCCTTCTTAATCCAGGCCTCACAGGCAACCTACCAGACATTCAAAATCAAAATCAGGGACAAATTTCTCAAGGGACCACTTGTGGAATCTTGAGTGAAGCATATTTACCCCAAGCTCATGGCACCTATCCACGAAATACTCTAGCAGATGAAGACCCCTAGCCTTGTCCCTACGAGCCATTTGCTTGAAATCATCAGGAGATGCGAATATGCTGTCCACGTCATCGAAACCTAGCCATGGAAAATGTTTTGAGAAACTTCAATCAAGCATCCATCCATGATCCATCCCAGTCTCTCAACAGTCAACACCACATCTTAGCAAACAGATACAGTTCAACATTAATGGTAGTATAATTTACCCTACTAACGCAAACAAAACCTAACATCCTTCCACTAGTCAATCATTTCCCCCCATCTTCTTCTTCTTCACCAATTCGATTTCTGAACACCAGCAAATGACACCGGATAGAACTCCCAAACAATCAAACTGATGGGTAAATGGAAGGAACGGGAGGATCAAGAACCAATTGATAACGGCGAGTTGTTCAAGCTAATGTTAACTATAATCTCTTTCTGGTGCTTTCCATTCTAAAAAATCAAAGCTCTCTTGAAATCAATTCTTGATAAACATCCACACCTTAACCTCTCCCTGAACCAGTTCAAGCAACTTGTTAACGATGACAAGGACGCTACAGTTACAGAGAGCCCTAAGATCAACGCCACTTCTCGAAACCCTAAGATCACACTTCAAGAACGCGATCAATCAAGCTCAACCAAGCAAAGAAATGAGCAAGAGACCAGCGAAAGAGAAAAGCAAGCTAAGAAACTCTACTCTATGTCTCTATCACATCAACAGTGCTAAAAGATCTCAGATAGCAAGAGAGAGAGAGAGCAGCGAACCATCCTCGTCGGGGATTTGGACGTGGAGGAAGAGGAGCTTGAATCCAGAAGTGTTGGAGCGGACGATCTTCTCCAGAGTCCACTCGAAAGCTCCCCTGCAGCTGATGGACGGGTGCGGATACTTCTTGATTGATGACTCGTTCACCGCGATCATTATGCGAGTCGGCTCGCCCTCCATTTTTGCTCCTCAAACCTCAATAGTCAATTCTTCCTTTCCCTTCCTTCACTTTCCCCACACCCAGCTCGCCCCCAACTCGCTTCTTGCAGAACTCACTCACTCTCTTTCTTACTTTCAGCCTAGAAGGGAGCGCGGGTGTTTTCTGTCTCTATTATTGTCATTTCGTTTCCCCCAATAAATATGACTGCGTAGGAAACTTTTTCTTTTGCTTGCGGAAGGGGACAGGTGTCCACTGTACACGTGTCGCAAAAGCTCGTGACAGGTTTATCTTCCAGAGCTGTCGGCTCGCTAACCAGCGCTTTCGTCGTTGTATCGCCGTGGAAGATTTTCTGCGGAGGGTGAGCGGTGGGCGGCGATATTTTCGTCGTCTCCGTGAGCTTGCCCCGTTCGGGTCATGACTCATGAGGAGCGGTAGAAACGATACCGTTTGGTAGAGTCTGCAGTTCAATCAGGACCTGACTTGAGATTAGGCAAAATGGGCCGGACGACTATTGGACTTGTGGGCTTAGTAAAGCATAATTGTCCGATTAAAACTAATAGTTTTGGGCCCAAACGAGAGTTCAATTATTCAACGCATATAAATTACAAGCGTCAAATCGTTTTCCCCGCCGGCGGCTGATCAATAACAAAGCAAGCAGCGAAAAGTTTATCTCGAACAAACGAAGAAAAAGAAAAGCATAACCGTACCGCAACCGGAGCTATGGAAGATGGAAATAGCGGAGGTGGAGGTATTGAATTCGCCGGCGGAATAGGAAATACGAGCTTCGACGACCTACCAGAGGGATGCATCGTCAATATCCTGTCGTTCGCTACCCCGGTCGACGCTTTGCGATTGTCCAGGGTATCGTCGGTATTCAGATCTTCGGCCAACTCCGATGCCTTGTGGGACAGGTTTCTGCCCTCTGATTACGACTCGATCATTCCCAATTCCGCCGAACTTCCGTCATTCTCTTCGAAGAAAGAACTGTTCCGCGCGCTTTGCAGTCGCCCGATTTTCTTCGACGACTGCAAGAAGGTAAAAATTAGGGTTAGTTTGATTTCGGATTCACCCGCGTTGATTGCTTCCAACTGTTAGTTTATGAACTTTCGATCGCTATACTTCTGATTAGGTTCTATGAAATTCGGCAAGTTCCGATTGCCTATTTCAGGGCATTCGCATTTACGGGAGATTTAGGTGTAGATTGTGCTTGAGAACTTTGAAATTTTGAACATGAGTTGTGAAGTAAACTGATCAATTCATCTGACCATGACAAGTGAAAAGTATGGGAATAGTATTGTACTATTATGTTGTCGAGGGACATGTAAGAGAATGATATAATATCTCTTCGTGGTTTCTCTGAGCAAATCGCGGAGTTATTGGGATAAATTGGTTTTTGTTTTGGCCTTAAATTTTGATCTCAGAGATCTTACTTTCGTTTCTCTGAATTGAATGTGTAGAGCCTTTGGTTGGACAAAGAGAGTGGCAAGAAATGCTACATGCTTGGTGCTAGAGGTCTCTCCATTGAATCAAGTGACAGTCCTCACCATTGGGCTTGGATCAAAGACAAAGATTCCAGGTTTTTTGCTGTTCTCTTTGCTTTCTCACAACCCTCTTTCCCTTCCATTGTGTTTTTCCCCATCACCATTTCATTCACCATCGCTTCGTATACTGATTCATGTGCTGCTTGCTTCCACGACGATCTCACAGATTCCCTGAGGTTGCTGAACTCAAGTCCGTGCCTGCCCTCGACATTCGTGGTGAAATTACTGCTTCCATGCTGTCTCCTGGAACAAACTATGCTGCATATCTTGTGTACAAGCTCCAGAGAAATGCGTTTGACTGCCTTTTGGTGGAGACCTCTGTTGGCGTTGCTGGAGCCGACATCTTGGCTCCAGCCACAATATGTCTGAATATTGATGTGGAACCCTTCTGGCATCATCATCGAAACAGTAATGCAGTGCTGGGATTGAAACGCCCGAAGAAGAGGAGAGATAAATGGTTGGAGATCGAGTTGGGGGAGTATTTCAACGAGGCTGGTAAGAGCGGGGGATTGGAGCCTGTTGCCATCCAAGTGAAGGCTGGAGGAGAAACTCGGGGTTGCGTCGTCATTGAAGGAATCGAAATTAGGCCTGCAATTGGTCAGTGATTTTATTACAGTCGTCAAAGTTCAATTGTACATGAAAGATAAGAATAAGGTCTAATTTTCATTAGATTCAGCATCTTAGTAAGAAAATAGCCAAATAACAGCACATAATAGTTGTCTTTTTATCAGATTTTCAAGTGGATTCATCTTAAATGAATGATTAGAAGCTAAGTTTTATCTAAAATTCATAGGGTCTCATATCCAAAATAAAACATTATCTACCCATTTGCCCATAAAAATCTCTTTAACTCTTCCTTCCCATGTATCATGTATGATCTATGGATCTGCAATCCTTAATGTGCCTCCGTTAGGGAATGAATACATTAATCTCGTTATCTAATTCTAAACAAAATTCTCTTACTTGATAAAAATTATACATAACAATGGAATTGTCAAGAAATGAACATATAAATCTCGTTATCTAGTTCTAAACAAAATTCTTGTACTTTGAGGTGGCAATTAGGATCCGTATCTATAAATCCAATCCATCCACCTAATCCAATCCATTTGATCCAAATCCAATTGGATTGGTGGATCCATGGAACCAAATGGCAAACTATGGGGGTTTTTTTTTATCCAAGATAAGCCCATAGGGCATGGCCGAACAACAATAATAGAAACTGATAAAAATAAAGAACGATAGTCCGTATGCAACCGGACTACCGAAGAAAGAGCTTGTTATGCCTTGAGGTGGGCAGCTCTAGGAAAGCTCCAATGAGCAAGCTATGGTTTAGTACCTATACTTTTTATACTTTACATTTTGGTATCTAGAGTTTATCATTTATACGAAAAATATCATTGAAAAATTATTTGGTACCTAAAATTTTTCCATTATGACATTTTAGTACCTAAATTTTTCAGTTTTTACATAATGATCCAAGGTTTGAATGTCATTTGAATTCATGGACCAATTCACCAATCTATTTGATCCATGAATTCACACATCCAATTCACCAATCTATGAATCCAATCCATTTGCGTCGGGAACTATACAGAACCATCCATGATCCAACTGTGGATATCAAGATCTGCTTTTACCAACACTCACAAAACTCAACCTCAAATTGCCCAATAGTGCTAACCCTGCTGGACACCACATTGCCTCGTTCCCATTGGTTCTTTCTGAAATTTCCTTATTCTCGTCACCTATCCAAACAAAACCATTGTCCCCATTTTCATGTAACAAAGGAGGGGCTCTTTCTCTTGGGAAATTTCCTTGGCCACATTACATTTCCTTTACTGCGCTGTCTGTAGCAGCACAGCACACGCATGCCCGCTCTCACTTTCCTCTCTATTGCCATTTTCCTGTTCTCTTGGTGGTGTTCATATGCATATACCATCACCGTCAATATTATGGCCAGTGGTTAACGTTTTGGTGAAAGTTCATATGGGCGACAAGGTGCCTGGCCTCTGTGCGTGCAAATCTTGCCATTCTCAGCTAAAACGACACATCAATATTACGTGGGCCCAAATGGGATGCCCCATATATATAGGCTCTCATGGCCCAAAGTGGGAGACAATCAATCACAGTGAAATTGAAGGCTTGTGATTTCTTGAAGACGAGAAAATTAGATTGCGACTTGTAAGGCTACGAATTAAAGATTATAGGATCTTAGACTCGGTAGTTAGTAGTTAGTACATCATGTTGATATGGCTTGATGGGATACTCAGTGATAAATCCTTATGTGTAGATCTAACGGTTGAAAGTAGCTCGAGAATAGACGACGAGACATTAGTATTAATCCATGCATATATATGTCCATTTTATATCAATATGATTGACATATTGACTAGTCTTTTGCACATTTGCGATCATCATTTTGTTATGCGAGTTTGAACCGATATTTTCGGTAACATTTACATGTAGATTTAACGGTTAAAAGCATGGGATAGACGATGAGACGGAATCAATCAACTTATGCATATATGCCTCTATCAACATATAGTCTAATTGCTTTATATTAAGCTTTTGTGATCATTAGCTAGTTATGTGAATTTTCTATAATGCTTACAATAACACTTTATGTGCGAATTTGGCAGTTTAAAGTGCAAGAATAGAAATTCATTAAGGTACATCAATTCATGCATATGTCCATCCTTTCATCAGGGATGTTGAATTTGCTTAGTATTACACTTTTGTGATCAACATGAAGGTCATGAAGAGAACTACTTGCATGCACTAATCAATTCTCCAATGGTAAAGTAAAAATTGCTAATACGAACCATCATTCAGTCATTAATTAGGCGATTTTCCTATTACTTACCACATTTTCTTCTATCAACCACAATCTACCCACTAATATAAGGAGATTCTGTGGGGTGAGTGGGTTAAAACTGAATTTGGAGGCTTAACCGCATCTCACGGAAGGCTATGTAAGTCTTTTTCACATTATATATTACCTCGGCTACGTGAATAAAGACTTCAGAGTTACATGATTAGGCATTTGGGTTGGGCTTCCAAGTTTTGTTTTTGGGTGAGAATCGGGTAGCTTTTGGGATTGGGCTGTGGTTTAAATCTAATTATCTTTTTCAATTAGATTTCTATTTTGTCGGAAGCCTAAATCATCTTCTCTGCAACACATAATACAACAACAAGAATGAATAATTTGAGTCTCAAATAATATGGTTTCTGATTCCGACTCAAGTCATAATTGCTTAAAGCAGTGAGATTGATATATAACTCATAGCCACATAAAAATCGGGTAGAAAATCAAAATCATGTCCATACCTGTTCGGGTTTAGGGTATTTACGGTTATCCGTGGGTAATAATTTCTCTTTATAAATCCGATCAACATGTTAATATTCATACGTACTCACATTATATAAGTGAAAAAGTATGACGTTAATTCACTAGAGCGAAGAAAATTAATTTCAAACAAAAATTCTATGAAAATATTATATTTGTATGCTAAATATAAACTATGTTGAGAAAAATAGTGATAATTTCTATGCTAAATACATATGCATGTGTGTAATCGGGCGGGTTCGAGTTGGATATTGAGAAACCCGTGTCCACCCATTATCCACGATATTTCGTTTCGGGTTTTACCCGTACCCATTGAAATGCTTCGGGTTCGAGAATTACCCTACACAATTAGTGCGTATTTTTATCATACCTAAACACCATGAAGACAAAAAATTACAGATAAACTCATAATAATATTAAATATTTAATATATATTAAATTATATTGTTATGAGTTTCAAGCAAAATAATACATTATCATAATGGTGACAAAATAGGATTAGGATTGCGTGGGGATCAATTCCACATATTAGTGAGCGGATTTATAATTGATCATATCTCATTTGTTTTATATTGGATTTTAATTTTTTTATTTTGAAAATTCCAATTGGTTAAACTATAGAAGATGATATCCATTTTGATATATGTTTTGGAAAAAATATTTTTTCTCTCTAAGAGAATTGGCCCTTATGGTAATTCATTTATTTATTTATTTTTAATCCATATGTGATCAAGTTTGTAAGTAATATTCAGTCAATTTAAGAATCATCCTCAATAAACCTTATATTTCTCTTCTAAATAATGAATCTCAATCATCAGCATTTTTCATATTTGAGACCCAACTCGAATGGTAGATACTACCAATCAATTACTAAAGCTTTTAATATTTAAGTTCCAACTTGAGTTTTGGATACTACAAAATATAATTTTGTTGTCTTTGGTCATCAAGAATTCTGATTTTTAGAGTTAATGATGAAAAGCTACTGAAAATAGTGGGAGAATGATACCTCCTCTTCCTAATGTCTCATTAAATGAAGGAATGCATTTTTTTCTTTTGACAAAAAAAAAACATCATAAATCCCATAAATGGGTTAATAGTTTCGAAGATAATCAATAATGGAAAAAATTAACCTCCAACAACATTTTTTTAGTAAAATTATGTAAATTGTCATGAAAATTACATTGCATATATCATATATGATCATGTTTTGTGTTTGAATATGCTTCACAAAAATACAAAAGATAAAAGTGAAGATAGTGGAGTCAATAATGAAAATTCTTGATGAATAAACGGATTACTTTGGAATACCTATAATATTGTGACATCAAGTTTAATATGAGTTAATATACTTTGCATAAGACTTACTTTTTGAATTTCAACAAGAATCAACATGGAAGGCAAATGTTGTTAATTCACATGTTGTTTGTTGATATATAAGCATGGCAATAATATAAGGGAAGTGGATATTACTGAAATTTAAGCTTTAAAGCTTTTTTAATTACGGCAATCATATTGCAATCGGCCAACGGCCGGGGTACAATCTAGTTACCATTTACCAACGTCGTTAGGAGCCCATTTCACATTCCGAGATGAGCCCAAAAAAACGAAGATTTACAAAGGGGGAAAAATATAATGGTAATTTAATTAGCGTTAATCCATATAATTATTGTAAGTGGAAGTAATTAAGAGAGGGCTGTGGAGATTCCAGTGAAAGAGACCCTACCAAAGCCCAAATGACCAACCTGGTAGAGCTCCAACCAAACCTTCTCCGCCTCATACTTGGCGCTCCTCCGCCGTCCCCCGCCGCCGCCGGCGACATCTTCCTCGTCAATATCCCCGGCCATCCTCAAGCTCCGGCTACCGTCCGACCTCTCCACCACGTATATCACATCCCCATCCTCCCCATTTCCACTACTCCCTTCTTCTTCCAAGTCACTCAGCCCGCCGCCGCCGGCTGACGTCACCATCTCCATCATCAGCGCACCTTTCCTCTTTTTCTTCTTCTTCTTGTTCCGCCGCATGGTCCCAATGCAGCGCCGCCCCACCGTCCAGGGGATCCTGACGAATGCTAGGGCGAGGAAGTTGACGACGGCGAGGGGGCAGCAGCAGAGCGCCACGCAGTCGGCTATCGCCCCCGCCGTGCACGACGGGCTGCAGCAGCATTCCGATACGTCGTCGTTCCGCGTCTCCCCTCTATGATTATCATTATTGTCGCCGCCGTTGCATCCGTTCTTTCGCCTCCTCCTCGCATTAGTAGTGGCCGGCGGCGATGCCGACCAGCTTTGTAATTCCATTTTTCTTTGGTTGGGTAGCTAATTCCTCTGATCACCTGGCTAGCTGCTGCGGGAGGAAAGAAATGTGTCAGCTTTATATAAACTGTCTCGCTTTCGCCATGGGAGTGACAATATGGCAATGCAAGAAGTTTTATGGTAGGGGCCGGGATGGGTAGAATGAAAAAGGGTGAGTGGAGGGATGGAAGTCCATTTACTATGGATGGGGTAAAAAGTTGAAAATTTGAGGAAATTACTGTTGTTTGGAATGGAGGCCCACGGCTGGGTGATGACTGATGAGTGATGAATGTTGTTTTTGATAAAAAGATCTCGACTTTTACAGTCCAATGGTGGTGTTGGGAATTGGGGCTGCCTAGTTTAATTAATTAATGTTCTGGGTACTTGCAATTTTGCTTAAATTACAATTAATGGCTTTGTATTTACTTAGGGTGGTTTCTCTCTGGCTTTGGAATTTGGGTTTTAGAAGATGGGTAATATTTTAATCCTAGTTTTTCTACTTACCTTCAATTTGAGGTATGATACACCGTTCAGATTTGAATCGAGTGATTATGTCTGTCGAATTTTAAATAAAAAGATTCTAATTTCAAAGACCGTAGTTCGCAACCTTCTAATTAATCGAACTAGTGCATGATTTGGAAGATTTGTTGAGACATATATATATCAAAACTCACGTTAGACTCGCAATTTTGTGCATACAAATAGTTAAACGGGTGCAACTCTAATACGATATTCATGAGCTTCATCCGAATAAAAATAGCCATCTTCTTAACTTATAAGCAAATTGTGTATTGCTGTAGGAAACCCCTCACACGAAATACATTGATCTCTACAAATCTGATCAATCACTTGATGAGATAAGGAAGCCTAAATGGTGAACTATCAAATGGGAGGGCGAAAACTCGGAAACTGAATGTGAAGGAGACTAGTCAGCCAAACAGAAATCGAAATAATGTTGGAAAGGGAGAGAAATAGTTATTGCTTAGTTGATCTTCAAAAGGGAAAGGAAAAGGAACAGAGGGAAAGACAGGAGAGGATTGCCCACAAAGTGATTTTACGTGAAATGAAACACAAGTACATAACTTCATGTCCAATGCCTAATTCAGCTTTGAAACAAAAATCCCAGCACTGTCCCATGAAATTTGAAACCCAACCCACCACCACCACCCACAGAGTACTGTTCAGGTTTCCTGGTGAGTCATAGAAAGCAAAGCCTAACAAAATAAGGTAGCCATATGGCTAGAGGTGGAGTTTAGGGTGCATTGCTCTCTATTTTCGTATCTAATATGAGGCTATAATATATGTAGGTACATGCTAAGTGAACATTGATGAAAAAAACAAAATTAGTAAATAGTGATCAATAGCGAAGTAGTATGATGAGGATACTCGATAGAGTGAAAAAGAACTTTGTTGATTAAGTGGAACATAACATGAAATCCTAAATTTCCAAACAATGGAAGGAGTCGGACTTATGATTGCTAGATCTTCTTCTTCCAAAACGAGTATTATTAAATCGTATAATTCTAATTGCTCTTTACTCTAAAAATTCGTTAAACAACTGTATATAAGATTTTTTTTCTTACAAACATTGTTAGACAAAGCCTATACAGTATTATAATGACTTTAGTGAAATTACTGTTTTCCCTTTTTTCAAATTTGATGGAAAGAAAAACCATTTGCCTACTTTGAGCTTTGTTACTTTGCCTATAGGCTTTACATTGCTTCAAATATGACATGAATCTTTCTTTTATATATAGGAACAAATATTACATGAATTTATCTTCAAATGTTTATGGTAACTTTACCCAAATGGCCCACCTTTGGGGTTACTGTAAATGTGATACCCAGGAACATAAATATTTGTCGTGGAATAATTTGGTTTGTCATGCAGCATCACAAGTATTTACTTGCTACATACCAAGAAAAATTGCCACTATAGTTGAATTGAATGTGACTTCTTTGTATTACATAGTTCTTGAGTTGGCTTCAATCCGATATCGATATGTAATGATTTATGATATTTTTATTATGTTGTTTTTACAAATATGTATATCTAGCTAGATATATAATAGATGTGTAATTATTATAATAAGTGGAAACAATCCATACTTAATTAATCATTTTATCTGTTGTGATTCATTTGTTGTTGCCAGGTACGTTGTATAATTTTTGTTTTGCCTTTTAAGTTGACTCTCAAGTTCTCCATGTTCTGTCATCGACATTAGAAGTATTAATGAATGTGATACGGATACAGAAGATTTCTAACATAAATGGCATATGAGTCTTGAATTATGTACTTTTGCAAAGCATTTGTTTGATGGTTTTAATAAGATAATAGAACAAACTTCTTAACCGAAAGATCTAGGAATGGAGAAAGAACATACTACATGGACTTATTTGTAACAAACCATAATGTACAAACGAATTAGTTGAAACAGCATAATAAATGGATTGAAAATGCTATTTGCCCTTTTCTTTTTTTCATTCCCAATTTCTGCTTTTGTTATTATTATCATTCATATTCATATGTTAGTAGTGAAATGTTGAATATGAACTTGAATCGCACCATTTCACATGCCAACGAAGAATGGATCTGAATCCCTTATTATACTATTCATTATTTTTTCTGAAATGTTTGACTGGTTTTCCTTGGACACAACAAAAGTGGGGAACCGGCAGAGAGCAAAACAAAGTAATTGGTGATCAGCAAGAACATCTATTGTTTGGCTGAGCTGAGTATGATCAGATCCTTATTGGCTTCAAGTTAATTTGTAAAGAAACAAATCGATAAGATAGTGATATATTCGATTTGGAGCCGTATGTAAGTGCATCGTCCATATTGTTACCGTTTGCTAATAATTAAAGTAACTAACTAGCCCTCAAGTAAAAATGTATGTAATGAGAAGTAGAGTACTAATTTTGGTAATGCTATTCCCATAACTCTCTCTGCCCCTCAAGTTCTTGCATAAACTGAACATAAGCAAATGACAAAGAAGGTAGGAAATAGAAGTAGACAACAGTCAGTAATATAGACCAAGACCCCCACAAAATAGTTCCAAAATGACACCAGAGACTTCAGCCTTCCAGCTGGGCCAGGCCCCCTGGCCCATTTGCAATAGCATCATCAAAGCCTAAACCCAGAAAAAGAACCCAGAAACTGAAGAAAAAAAATATGCAGAGCAACAACTCTGTCATCAAACAAATGCAGAGCAGTATAACAACTCACCAGGGAGTGATTAAGGATTGGTGGAAGATGATCTGAAGAAATACTCTTGAGCTTTCCCCTGCTGCATCTGCTATTCTCTTCTCCACCATTGATTCATCTCTCCTACATAGCAGCAGCCATTGCCATGTGGAGCTGGAAAATTTATGAGGATGCAGCTGCTCTCTAAGAAACCCAGGAAGAAGCCAAAAATGGAGCTACCCAATATTCTCTCACCAGAAAGATTTATATGTCTGATTCAGTTTGTGATTGATTTGGCGGGACGAGCTGCTCCAATGGCGGATATACGAGAAGAATATTTTACAAGGAATAGGTGGAAGAGATTGGAAGCACGTAGCTGCTTGCTTATGCTTCCTTCGAATTGACTTGATCAATCTCGTGCGATCTTGATCTAATATGTGAATTCAGATTGTATTATATATAATACGGGAATTGGGAGAAGGGTTTTGGGAGCAGAAGGAATCACTCATTCACTCCCCCATGTCATCATCAATACTCTGTCTCACGATCTCCCTTTTCCCCCCCTCTTTCTTTATGGTATACAGCAATGCATATTTTAATATTCAGAGCACAGTTTAGTATGATATCCGTCGAAATCCTCCATTTAAATAATTTGTTTCGTTGAAAGAGCTCTAACATTAAACTCCGAAGCTTGTCCGACTCCTTTTCATACACAGGACAGCCTTAATTACGTCGTAAATCAACCATTTAACATTGGAGATTAATTTCATGTTGGCACAAGCCATTAGTGTCATTGCTTTTTTTTGCTCTGCTGTACACTCTGCAGTCTGTAGTCCGTACTTGAAAAAGAGAGATGGAGATACTTGCATTTTAAGGTTTCATAGGAGTCTGATCTGATTCTGATGTGAGAAATATGGTAAGCGAGTTCCAATGACAGCGAATATAGGAAAAACTGTCCCTCTCAACTCTCAACAAATAAGCTCCTTCTCTATTTTTAACTCGGCCCCCCATGACTCATGCACGTGAGGAACGGGGCAGCCACGTGCTGCCACGTCCGCCAATTTCCCTTTTGCTCCGATGGTAGATATAAAGCTATGAACAAAGAGTGATCAGTTAAGACTTAAGAGTTCAAGCTTAATCTCTTTATGGTTTGTGCACGCTTCAATTCACTAACGCCGGATCCAAGAGCATTAGTTGTATCTGAAAAGGGCTGAAGAGGATTGAGTCGTGACCGGATTAATATTGGACTGAATATCTAAAATTAAAAAGTTTATAAGTGATATGTTAGCTTTATAACATACAAGCCATATAGGTCTGAACAAAGAGTGATGAGTGAAGAGTAATTTAAGCTTAATCTCTTAATGGTTTGTGCACGCTTCAATTCACATCGGCGGATCCAATATATAGTAGAGTACTAGGTCGTTTAAAAAGAGGTAAAGAGGATTGGGTCGTAATCCGATTAACATGGGACCGAATATTTAAAATCGAAAAATTTATAAGTGTTATAATAGTTTTGGACCCAAAAGAGGGTCGGGCGACGGCCCGAGGAGGCCTCCTCCTAGATCCGTCACTGTCAGTTCATTAATCTATAATTATAAGAGTGTTTTTTTTTTTTGAAGGGGAGAGTATGTTATTCATTTGATGGCAAAGATAGATCGTATCATCCATATTTTTTGCTATTATGGTCGGATATAATTTTCGATTTGGGTTGTACGTCGTTATGTGAATTGGAATTTTGATTGCACGAACTCCAAGTCAAACCCCCAATTATAGCTAAATCTACAACAGAGCAATCCTTGTGTAATTTCTATTATACTCAGTA